AAAGCGAACCTGGCCGCTCTTCAACGAAAGACCACAGGCACTTCGGACATCGGATGGCAGAAAGCGACTGTCAATCAAAGGCAAGTTGAAGTAGCGCCTGCACCCGGGTGGAAGAGCATACTGATAGAAACAACAGTCAACGTCTCCAGAACTCATCCCGATCAAACTGACTCCAGACGCCTCCAGTGAAGATAGGGCCCCACCCGTCGCAAGAGCAGTGTGTTCAGGAGTTGTGAAATGCATGTTCGGCGTTCTGGTATCGCATATGAGACGCAACCTCTTGCCTTTCCGCGCCACAAGAAACAGGCCTGCCTCCTCCAGCACGGGCTCCGAGCTGGCCTCAATAACTCCAGAAGCGAGAAGCTCCCCGAGCGCGTGGCCCTATAGTCGTAGCCGAGCCGCCCGAGCTTCGGGTCCATGGCGCGAGGAGCACCTGCATCGCTAATTAGCGCTGCTGCTTCCAAAGGGGAACGCAACAGCCCGCGCCCAGTCTCCAGCTTGTGATGCAGATCAGCAGGCAGGACGTCCAGAAGATAGACCTTCCCGGCGCCAATCTTGGGGAGAGAGATGTTTCCCCGCTGGTAAACTGTTCGAGAACCTGAGGCCTCGACTTCTGAGTAGCCAGGCCTGAGGCCCTGAAGCGTCGTCCACGCCTCATGGGGGCTCGGGCGATCAGCCGGCGGTGACCACTTCCCGTAGATCGCAGCCAAACGCCGAACGGCAACGCGTTGGGCCGCCGTCAGCGGGGCTGAGGCAGGGACATGACGACCCTGCCCGCCCAGCTCGTTGAGGGAGGCGATGCCATCGATCAACCGCATATCCTGGCGCCTCCTGGTCGCAGCCCTGCGCTTCGCAGACAGTGAAGTACCAAAAGCAGAACATCCACTAAGCAAAGACATCAGCTTTGAACCAATCGGAATCGGCAGCAGATCACGGTGGCGGCCTCCAACGCCGTCGTCACAAAACATAGCGCAGACGATGCCGCACCTCCCCTTGAAGATAGTCGACCGCTCGGGGGCAGGCGGGCGACCAAGGAACCTCGGACTCAGGATGGGGCTACGCAGCCCCCTCACCTGCCTTGCCCTTGGCCTTTGCCTTGGCCTTGGGCGCAGGTGTATCACCGACCGCTCCACCACGAGCAAAAATCTTTTCTTCACGCCATCTGCGACGTTCTTTGAGTACAGCAGCCTCCGATTGAAGGCGACCCGAAACCCAAGTCTGTAGCTCAGGAGACACCAAGGCCCCTCCGCGGCCACGTTCTTGCCCAAGAAACATTTCACGTTCGTCGAGCCAGGCCGATCCGCCCGAGTCACGAACTGCACCGACCTCATGTTCACGGAGCCTGTTAGCGTAGACCTCTTCCCAGATTTGGTACCTCCTCGAGATCGCTTCGAACGCGCCGAGCTCTCCTTCATTGAGCTGGTCCTTCGTCGCGCCCATCTCCAGGAGCTCAGACAAGAACTGATGTTCGTCGACCCCCGCGTCCGCTGCGGTGAGGTTCTGCGTCTGCCTCCACCGCGTGTGACGCTGGAGGGGGGTCTGGCCCAGCCTCTTGAACTGCTGCGCGAGCCACATGGTGGTGCGAGGGCCCAGTGCTGGCCAGTCTGGCATCGGGCTGGTGGACATGAGCTCGACCGCGTCCGAGAAGTCCCTGATCCTCGTGCCTGCCCTGTCGTGCCGAACGGGCAGTGTGCGGAGGTCCTGCTCCTCAGCAGCCGTCTCCTTTCGGGGGGTGCTCGCCCCCTCGAAGGTCCCCCACTTCGCGACCGCCAGATGGTGCCATCCGCGAGCTCGACAATCCCGCGATCGCCAGCGGTGCTGCGGGGGACGGTCCCAGCGAGAAGCTCGTCACCTGGATGGTAACCAGCTCGGGACTCCAGGACCACCCAGCGCGCAACATCACCAGCGTCAGCGCGAACGCCGAGAGCCTTCGCAGGCTCCGCGTCGCCGTCGGGGGCGGGCAGCGCTGGCAGCCCCGCGCCTTCAGCCGGCAGTCCCTCCTCTCGGCGGACCTCCTCAGCCAGTGCGCGCCCTTCATCGAGCAGCGCCGCCTCGTTGCGTTGATACCTGCCCATGTCCATGCGCAGGATGTGGCCAGACAACTTCGTAGGCAGGCCTCCCATCGGGCCAACTAGGCACAGGTGCATGGCATCCGAGAGGTCCTCCTCGTAGATGTCAACATGAGGAGTAACCGCCACCCAACGGGTGGGAGTGGCACGGCCCAAGAGGACTCGCTCATGCCAGTAGTTGTCCTCTCGCTCGTAGAAGACGAGCACGCGGGCCCCCGCTCGAAGGCTTGCCAGCGCCTTCGCCGTCCGAGCCGCTGCCATGCGCGTCCTCGAGCGCCTGGGCCCGATGGCGGCAGCTCCGCGCCGCGGCCTCCCGCGCGCAAAGGCCCAGCACCAAGCCGAGCGCCAGCGCGAGACCGAGCTCCAGCCCGGTGTGGCCCGACGGCGGGCAAGCGGGCACCTGGGCCGGCTGCCCGTGGAGGTGCTCTGGCCCGCACCTGTCGAGCTGGCTCTTCAGCAGCCCGATGAGTGCTTCGTCTGGCGAGGCGTCGAGATGGCAGCTGCAGTCGCACGCCCGCGTGTGCTGGCCGCCACCAAGCCAGGTCCCGAGCGCATGGCCGCCGACAGTGGCTGCCCAGCGCGACCCAGCGTCGATCAGGGCGGCGGCCATACACGGGGCCTTTTCCCGAGCGAGGTGCCTCGAGAGAAGACAGCGGCACACGCGGCAGATCATTCACGTGAACCACTTACATTCTTGTACGCTGATCATGGGAATCCGTGGAACTCTTGTAAATCTTTAACACGAAGGTGCGCGGCGCTAAAGCGAGAACCACATATTGAAAAGGAACCACCCTTAATCCGTTTAGCTCTTGAACATGTTTGAAAACAACGTGCGCGGCGCTAATGCGAGAGCCACATTTTGAAAACGACCCGCCCTCAATTCGTGAAACTCTTGCAATCCCACCAGCCCTTTAGGGCGTGAGTGGTCTAGATAGTCCTCTCTGTTCTCAACCCCCTTCTTCCGGGTGTACCCCTCCCCCTACCCCCTCCCCCTGGGCCTGGAGAAGGGGGGCCGCGGGTCGCCGGGGCGTCCTTTGTCGGTCCCTGGGAGGCTCATTTTTTGACATCCCTCACAGGGATCGTGGCCCCAGGGGGGGGGGGGGGCAAATAAGTGCTTTCGTCTTCTTTGACCGGTCTCCTCCAAGATGGCCCCAAGAGCGCTCCCAAGGCCCCCAAGAGCGCCCCCCAAACGGCTCCAAGACGGCCCAAGAGGGCCCCAAGACGGCCCAAGCGGCGGCCAGTACGGCCCAAGAGGGCCCCAAGATGGCCCCAAGAGCGCCCAAGTGGCGCCCAAGAGCGGCCCAAGAGAGCCCCAAGCGGCTCCAAGACCGCCACATCACGGCTCCAAGTGGCCGCGGAGCCTCCCGAGGACGCCCCCGAGAAGCTAAGACGGTCCAAGAGGTCCTCAAGACGCTCCAAGAGAGCCCCGAGAGGCGCCCTAAGAAGGCCCCAAGAAGCCAAAACCATTGATTTTCCTTAGGCGTTTCAAACATTTTAGCGTTCCCGCCCTTTCGGCTTCCCGACGCTCCAAGACAGCCCCAAAGGCATGCAAGACCGCCCCAAGACGGCCCAAAAAGCTCCCAAGACAGCTCCAAGACGGCCCAAGAGGGCCCCAACACGGCCCAAGCGGCGGCCAATACGACCCAAGAGGGCCCCAAGACGGCCCCAAGAGCGCCCAAGAGGCGCCCAAGAGCGGCCCAAGAGAGCCCCAAGCGGCTCCAAGACCGCTCCAAGACGGCTCCAAGTGGCCGCGGAACCTCCCAAGGACGCCCCCGAGAGGCCAAGACGGCCCAAGAGGCCCCCAAAACGCTCCAAGAGAGCCCCGAGAAGCGCCCTAAGAGGGCCCCACGAGGCCAAAATCAAATGTTTTCCTTAAGTATTTCAAACATTTCAGCGTTCCCGCCCTTTCGGCTTCCCGACGCTCCAAGACAGCCCAAAAGGCCCGCAAGACCGCCCCAAGACGGCCCAAGGGGCTCCCAAGACGGCTCCAAGACGGCCCAAGAGGGCCCCAAGACGGCCCAAGAGGCGGCCACTACGGCCCAAGAGGGCCCCAAGACGGCCCCAAGAGCGCCCAGCAGGCGCCCAAGAGGGCTCCAAGAGGCGATATTTCGGGCCCCGACGGGGGTACACCAATAAATGCTCTCTCCTTCTTTGCCCGATGGCCTCCAAGATGACCCCAGGAAACCTCCCAAACTCCCACAAAGAGCCCCGAGAGGGTTTCAAGACTCCCAAAGGAGCCCCAAGAGAGCCCCAAGAGAGCCCCAGGGCCACGATTCCCTGAGATCCCAAGAGAGCCCCAAGATCGCACGGCAACGCCAGGAGGAGGAGGAGGACGAAGAGAAGGAGCAACGAGGACGAGGAGAAGGAGAGGAAGATGGAAGAAAGAAGCCAAAGAGAGGGAGAAGGAAGAGAAAACACCCTACCGTCAGCGCACCCTTTTCGAGTGGCTGCTTTTGGATGGGCTGGTGGTGACTCGCGAAGCGTAAACAATTTATTAAACCGAGTGTACGCGGCGCTAAGGCGAGAGCCACATTTTGAACCCCCCCGCCCTCGATCCGTGAAGAACTTGCAAATGTTTAGAACGAATTTGCGCGGCGCAAAGGCAAGAGCCACACGTTGAAAACGAACCGCCCTCCATCCGTGAAGCTGTTGTCCATTTCTAAGCTTCAGGGTCATAAATGGTGAAGAAGTCTCAGGCGAAACGCCCGGACCACTCTGAAAAGTGGCCTCGGGGTGCGACATGGAGAAATCATTTATAACGAAAACAAGGGAGGAGGAGGAGGAGGAGGAGGAGGAGGAGGAGAAGGAGGAGGAGGAGGAGGAGGAGGAGGAGGAGGAGGAGAAGGAGGAGGAGGAGGAGGAGGAGGAGGAGGAGGCGGAGGCGGAGGCGAAGGGGGAGGAAGGACGCGAAGGCGACAGCCGCCCAGCAGCCTCAGTTGGGCGCACTCCTCCTCCAACGCGGCCACCCTGCGCTCCAGAGCCGCCGCGCGCGCGTCGCTCCGCGCCGCGTGCCGGACAAGCCTCGGCACGACGACGACGACGACGCGGGGGGGCGGAAGCAGATCCCGACGGTCCGATTTTTTCAATCCTGGCGTTTTTTCCTCGATCCCCGTCCTTGGGGCCAGTTGACGGGCCCGAAGGACACGTTTCTGGGGCGACAAGCAATCCCCAGGAAAGGGCTCGTGATTTCTGAGGCCGCGCGTTGAACACTATCACATCGTCGGATGTGTGGGGACGGGCCCTGGAGGAAATGGGTTCTGGATTTCTTCCTGCACGTTCTCGTCGCTGCGGGTGCATCCGCCCCGAAATTCTGGCCAAAGCAGGCCCCTGTACATGGCCGGGACTGTCAAACAACTGCTCAGGACCAACGGCTGGTTCTTGGGAAAAGCCCTGGTGTCTACGATCAGGAACTTTTGCTTAGCGTGTCGCGGCGGCGGCCCTAACGACACGCTATACCCTGCGAGCGGGTAGGTAGCGTGTCGTTCCGTTCCACGTGTCGGGAGGCTGTGAAAGGCATGGGACGTTGGCGCTTGGGACTGGCGACGTGGATGGCGTCGGAGCGACGCGCTAAGCCAAAGTTCCTGACCGTAGGACCCATGTCCGGGAGGAGAAGGAGGAGGAGGAGGAGGAGGAGGAGGAGGAGGGGGAGGGGGAGGAGGAGAAGGCAACGGAGAAGGAGAAGGAGAGGAGAAGGAGGAGAGGAGGAGGAGGAGGAGGAGGAGGAGGAGGAGGAGGAGGAGGAGGAGGAGGAGGAGGAGGAGAGGAGGAGGAGGAGGAGGAGGAGGAGGAGGAGGAGGAGGACTGCGTTAGGCTCCCCCACAAAAAAGCAGCTGGCAGCAGCACCGGCCCCAGCCCAGGTTCATCCAGGAGGGTCTCAAGGGGGACTACGAGGGAAACAAGAAGCAGGTGCGCCTCTGCGAGAGGAAGAACCAGGAGGAGAACAAGGGGGACTACGAGGGGAACAAGGGGGACCACGAGGGGAACAAGAAGCAGCTGCGCCTATACGCTCGACGGCCTCGACGGGGCACACGACGGCTCGACGGCGGAGGGGGAAACAAAACACCGAATTACGACGACGAGGATCTAGAGCAGGCGAAACAGTAGGGGGGGCCCAAGTGGGATCAGCTTGGAGGCATTCTTCGACGGGCCGCAGAAGATACGGTGGGAAGAGGGAAGCGCATGTCGGTGGGGGCTCCGTTCGAGGAAGCGGATTACGATGACATTCTTCGGTTGCGAGAAGAGCTGCAGACGGCTTGGGAGCGCTACCAGGCAGCCATCACTCCAGAAGCAGCAGCTGCCGCTCGCCGAGAGCATCGTCACATTTCTCGTCGCCTTCAACACAAACGCTGCCGTGCACGTGAAAAATTCCTTCGCCATCGTTGTCGAGATTTGGAGGAGAGCATGGCCAACAATGACCTGGGGAGTTTTTACCGGAACATGAAAACCTTGGGGATTCATATGTACGGCAAAACGAACATGAGTATGGAACCAAATAGCATGGAGACGATTGCGAAGACGTTAGAAGCACAAGGAAATGACCAGTTCGAGGGTATCACGCCATCACCGACTTCGGCCTCCCTCCTCGGCCAACCAAACCAGAGTTGAACAAAGTAGCCTCAGAAGAAGAGATTCTTGAACATCTGGCACTTCTGAAGGAGTATGCACCGGGGCTGGATTAGGTGACGACCCTGATGCTGAAGGAGGCGGGGGAAGAGTTCCACCTGCTGCTGGTGCCTTTGGTCCCAAAGCTGTGGGCCCAAGATCCTGCACTATGGGAACAAAGTCTTTGCGACGTCGTGGGGTTTCGACTCTACAAAAAAGGGGCTCGAGATGATGTAAACAGTTACAGGACGATCTGGTTGATACAGATGGTGATGAGGCTGATGGAGCGTATTGATGCTGAGCGGATATCGCAACATCTGGAAGCAGAAGGTCTTTTGGCGGAGTTTGCCTAGGGTTTCCGACCTACTCGAGACGTTCTCGGCCACATCCTTGTGAGCAGATTGATCCTGGAATTCTGTAACTCTGTCAAGACGCCGGTGGAGTGGGATGAGCTGTACCTTATCTTGGTTGACATCAAGAAAGCGTACCCACGAGTTCCTCAAGCCACAGCGGAGAGAGTATTTCACAGTTCAGGCTTCCCGCCAAACATGATTCGTCGGGTGTGTGCTTACGACAGACGCTGTTCTTCTCAGGTCCGCACGAAGGAGGGACCATCGAGGAAGTTCCCCATGGCTCGTGGCTTCCGAAAGGGTGGACCCGCTTCTCCTGCTAAGTTCAATGTTTATCGTGCCCACAGCAGTCATCACGTCAGAACTTCCATCACCTCCCAGATTGGCACGGTGGGAATAGACGTAAGACAGCAATCGGGCCCGACCTTCATGCACCACGGATGCGGTATTCGGCCTGAACACCAAAGCCGCCAGACAGACCTTCCACAGCCAGGGAAGGGATTCGAGGACATCTTCACTCTCATGCACATGTTGTTTGCAGATGATACCTCTTGCTGGTGCAGAGATTCTCAACACCGCAAAGTAAAAGAACTCATGATCTCCTTAGTTGAAAGATGGGGAGAGAGTATTCATCCCGGGAAAACAGCGAATCAAAGCCCACGGCGCTGCTGGGGACGAACGTTTTGCTGAACATGCTCGTTTTCTTGGTGCCTGGCTGCAATCGAACGGCTATCACGAGGTAGACACTGCCCGGCGACTTCGCTCAGCCAGACACATCTGGCGCAAGCTGTGCCAACAGCTCCAGAGATTACAGATTCCAGAGAAATGCCTGGGCCGGGTGATCAACACCACCATCGTTGCCTGCCTGCTGTTCGGACACGAGTGTCGGAGCGTCACCGCCGACCAGCTGTAGCAATACCGGGTCTTCATGAACAAAGTGGTCCGGGGCGTCTGCCGGGAGAAGATCCGAGACATGCGCTCTGACCATTTGACAATGCGTGATCTTTATCACCGTCTTCACCTGGAAGACATTGAGACCCTCATCGCTTGGCGGCAAGGCAATTTCTTGGGGCACGTTCTCCGCCGGGACGACAACCGGATCGAGAAGCGCATGCTGAAGTGTGTCGTCATTCCAGAATGCACGTTCGCCTACCACAGGAAACGGCCACCTTCGACCATCCAGATTTTCAAGAGACGTCTTCATGAATTGGCTCAATTTGCTGACTAGTCGGAAAAGGAGTTTCACGACAACCTCGAATCTTTCGCTCGGAACAGGAATGGGTGGACAAAAACTTGTTCAGAAGGAAAGAACCCGTCGGCACCGAGAGCTCACCAAGCAGACCTGGCTCGAAAAACACGGATCGGACCCTCGTCGTGACCTGGCAGAGGAACGAAAGCAGAAACGAGTGGAGAAGCTATTGGGGATCGAGTTCGACTCGGACGGGCTCGCGGTCTGCCCTCACTGCGAAGAACAACAAATCTTGTGCAACTTGTCTTCGTCACTTCCCGGCCTGTGCTCGCAGGACACCAGATCGGTGTCGCCGGGCCACGGCCGCCAGAGCGAAAGCGGCAGCCCGGCACCAGCGAGTCAAGGAAGCACGGGATCAAGGTCAAGCTCCTCCCCCGGCTCCGGCTCCAGTACCCAGGCTGGTCGGAGCTTGGGACACGGCCATTGCTCTACTGGACCCTCATAGGCTCCCTCGCACTCTTCAACAAGGCAGGAGGGAAGGAGGAGGAGGAGAAGAAGGAGGCGCACCAGGAGGCGGAGCAGAAGGCGGAGGAGGAAGAGGAGGAGACGCACAGGGCGGAAGCGGAGGAGGGCAATCAGGAGGAGGAGAAGGAGGCAGACCCCAGGGAACGGCCCCAGGCCCCGGACGCCAGAACGGAGGGCTCGGACCGCCCGCCGCGCGGCGAGGAGGCGGATGCCGCCACGCAGCTGGCAGCAGCACCAGCCCCAGCTCAGGCTCATCCAGGAGGGGGAGAAGGAGCCGAAAGCGGAGGAGGAAGAGGAGGAGGAACAGCAGCAGGAGGACCAGCAGGAGGAGGCCCACATGCCGCTCGACGCCGGCTTCGGGGAAAACAGCCTCTTCAACAGGATCCCGTCCCTCCTCCACCACAGCCCCATTCCGAAGCTCGTCCTCACATTCGACGCCAGAGATCGAAGGGATTTCCGGATTTGGCATGGGTGGCGAATTTGTTGCCTACTCGACCTGAAGGTGTTGTTGCCGTCCCGAAGCGGGTTCCCAAACCGCAGACAGCAGCTCCTCGGGGTGGGTGGCAGGGCAAACATCGGGACACGCTGTTCGCTAGGTTCGCCATTTATCCCCCTCGTCCAGAAGTCGATGCTCGTGGATGTAACGGAGGGTGCTCGATTTGTCGTCAGTGCATGAATGCAGAATTCATCGGTGTTTCGGTGGGCACTGGCAAGATTTGGGCTGTACTCGTTGCATGAAGTGTCCGAAGTGCCGCAGTGCTTGGTCAGACGAGGAAGCGGCCAAGTACACAGCGAAGTGCCAGTGTCAAAAGACTTATGTCCATCTCCGATTTGCCCGTGCCGCCACGAACACGGGAAGATCTGGACCGTCGCACGTGTGAACATTGCACAGCTCGTTTCGAGACGGCGAACAAGCAGATGTCCATAGCAAGACGTGCGTGCGCATGCCCCCAAAGATGTGGTTGTCTCGTGTGCAGGTTGTGCAGCAGTCTCAATTACAATATCATGTTGGAGTTTCTGATCCTTGTGTGCATTGTGGCATTCGTTTCAGAGAACAGAAAGGGGCTTGGAAGTATGCTCATGATGTGCTGAAAGATCCGACTCGCCGGTCTTAGGCTCAAGCAGGGGGCGCACAGCTTCTCTTTCGAGGACTCCAAGCTGCCGGCCCGCTTCGCCCCGCAGCCAGATGCCGAAGTCGGCGCAGGAGCTGCTCCAGGAGGCGAAGGCCAAGGTGGTGGCGGAGGGCAAGCCGCCTGACCACAAGAAGGGCCGGACCGGAGAAGCGGGGGCCGGCGGGGGGTGCGAGGCGGCCTCCCTCCAGCGGCAGCTCGGATTGCACGAAGGTGGTCACTTGCATGGTCAGGGACTACCTGTATTTCAAGAAAGACGCCAATGATGTAATCAACTCGAAGCAGTTCGTGATCCTCTTCCGGGAGGAGGAGCAGAAGGAGAGCGTGAAGGGCCTCAGCGACGTGTGGCACGCCAAGTGGGGTGAGTTCAAGAAAGCCAGGGACAAGGCAACCGCGGACAAGACGCCAGTGCCAGAGTTCGACTATCCGCACAAGAAGGTCTACATGTGGACCATCGTGTGGAGCCAGGTCGAGGTCGCCACGAAGATGCGCGACGACTCGGCCGACGAGCCCTACCAGAAGTCCATGCAGATGGTCATCGACGGGGCCAAGGAGCTCAAGGCGATCCAGGCGGAGATGGTGGACATCATGGTCGGCGCGCTGTCGTCTAAGTTCGCCTCCCCGGTGCCGGACTGGCCCTGGCGCTTCACGCTGAGCTTCTCGGATCTGGTCACGCAGCAGGTGAAGGACGTGATGGTGCATGCTGTGCTGAGGATGAACAAGACCGACCCGATTGAGATCGCCCTCCGGCGTCAGTACGGGACGGAGGCGGAGGAGGAGATGGGGAGCTTCCTCAAGAAGCAGCCGCGGCGGGAGAAGGGGGGTGGCAAGGGCCACTCCCGCGGCGCCCAGCGGAAGTGAGCTCGAGGCGGGGCCCCGGGGTCGGAAGGGCGTAGGCTCCCCCCGGGGCCCCACGACATGGACCATCCTCGTGGGCAGCCGACCTGCCCATTTTTGGGCCACGCCTGAATTGTTCGTCTTCCGCGTCGTCCTGCGGGAGCTGGCTGTTTCGGTTGTGGCAGGATGGTATCATAAGCATACACGAGTGCTAATTCAACATGCATTTTTTCATGGACGGAGCATGGACGACCAGGGGATTCTGACATGTATTCTGACAGATAGCTTTGCGTACGTCTTCTTTTTCCTGGCAGCGAGTAAGCCTGGGCAGAGTTATGTCTTGAAGTACCCCAGGTGCAACACCATCCACAACCCCCTCAAGGAAGCCCAAAACGATACAAACCTCCAGACCCAAAGGGGAGGTCGCAAATCATGGCCCGAGGCCCGAGGCATATGTGCGGACGAGGGGAGACCAAGGAACGCACTGAAAGAAGAAGAGAGGGCCAGAAGAAGAGAGGGCCAGGACATCAGGGGAGATTCCATGACCCAGGCCATGCTATCCCCCCAAACATCAAACCCCTCTTCAACGCCTGGTGGTGGTTTTCGGGCCATGGCTCAATTGGAACGATCCAAGCACCCCCGGACAGCCGTCGACGAGGAGCAGTTGCTGGAATCAACGACAGCGCCCGAAAACCTCACAGGAACCAGCGACAACGTCCGAAAACCTTCGGTGGCAGCCACCGCCTGGGAAACCGTCCGAAAGCGCACGCAAAAGCGCACAACACCGGCCGAAAACGTTCGGGCACGTCCAAAAACCTGACAGGACCCAGCGACAACGTCCGAAAACGGATGGCGACCGCCTCTGGCCCTCTTCCCCACGGCGAGTCGCGCCCCGCGGAGTTTCGGCCCCGCGGGCGCGCCACTCCAGCAGGTCGGCGCCGAGGCCGGCCGCGGGCGGCGCCACGCGGAGCGCGGCCTCCGCGGCCGCCCCGGCAAACGCGCGCTCAGCAGCGGCCGCGGCGGCCGCGGCCCCCGCGACGGCCGCCACGGGCCTGAACTCCGCGGCGGCGCGGCGGGCGCGGGCTCCGCGGCGGCCCGAGGGCGGCGGGCGCGGCGGGCGCGAGCTCCGCGGCGGCCGCGAGGGCGGCGGGCGCGGCGGGCGTGAGCTCCGCGGCGGGCGCGCGGTCCGCGGCGGCCGCGGCGGGCGCGAGCTCCGCAATGGGCGCGCGGTCCGCGGCCGCCACGGGCGTGCGCTCCGCGGCGGCGGCGGCGGCGGCCGCGAAGTATGCGGCCATCGCGCCGCCGTCGTCGGCGAGGGCGTCGGCCAGGTCAGCGGGCTCCAAATGGCGGGCGGGGACCTCCCAGGCCATGCCGATGGGGGGGGGGGCGGGCCCCGCTGGAAGGGTCCCAAGAGACGCTGCTATTCCTTCTCCTCCGTCCTCTTCCTTCCTTCTTCCTCCTCTTCCTCCTCCTCTTCCTCCTCATCCTTTTCCTCCTCTTCCTCTTCCTCTTCCTCCTCCTCCTCCTCCTCCTTCTCCTCCTCCTCCTCCTCCTCCTCCTCCTCGTCCTCCTCCTATTGGTCTCCACCTCCTCCTCCTCCTCCTCCTTCTCCTCGCCCGCCCCCTCCCCAGACCTGCTCGCCGCCTGACAACATCATGACGCAGCCTCCGAGTGCCCTTTGCGGGCCCTGGGGCCGTCGGCAACAAATTGCTCGTAATGCGAGCACCGCTTTCTGGGCGGAATGCCTTGCAGGTGGCCGCCCCACGCACTCTGGGGGGGCGCCGCGGACGTAGATGAAGAAGAGCAACATGATGAGTTCGAAGCACATGGTCCGGCCGACCGTGTCCTCGGCGACGCGCCGCATCATGTCTCGGTAGCTGGGAAGGGCGTCGCTGGGCAGGTTCCGACTGCTCCCGTCGTCGAGCGGGATCTCCAGCCCCTCCAACGAGATGTACAACGGCTACTTCGTGTCGGCTATGTTCGGGGTAGCGAAGATGAAGGGGCACCCGAAGAGCGATCTGTAGGTGACCCTTTCGTGGCGGCAGAGGCTCCGATGTCCGCCGGTGCCGACGACGTCTGCGACTGCCATCTGTATGATGTTCATGGCGCCACGCACCACGCTGGGCACGTTCGCGTTGCTTGCCAGGGCCGCCACGCCGCCGCCGCTACGCGCGCGGGCGGCAGTTGCCAGGGCATCCAGCGTGAGGTGCTTCACTTTCTCCGCCCACTTCGTGCCTCCGTTCTTCAAGAAGGCGAAGGCGGACTGGTGGCGCTCCGCCAAGTAGTGAAGCGTGGCGAACATGTGCAGGGGCACCCGGTCCGCCGCGAACCGGTTGACCTCAGGTTCGCCCTTTTCTGTCTCCTCGTCGGAGTCCAAGTCGTGCTCCATCTGTTCTCGCATGCGCGGGCGCGTGATGCATGCGTGCGCGAGCAACTGGGGGTAGGTTCCCGTTCGCCTGGGGTCCAGGTAGCCAGTGTCGCCGCCGCGCCGCGGGATCGGGCGCGCCTGCGTCCGCGCCAGGGGCGCAATGTCGCGCGGCACCCCGAGGTTCGCCATGGTCGCCTCGGCCCCCGCGCTGCGCTGCGCGCGCGAGATCCTGCTGCGTCTGCGGTTCCCATTCTGGGCGCGACAACAGGCGGGCGCGTCTTCGAATGGACTCGCCGAGCTGCAAGACGCGCTGCCCTCCCTCCTCGTCCAGCAGCGCGCTGCCCGATCAGATGGCGTGCTCCATCTCCTTGGCCGCGCGGAGCTGCGCGGTCGCGCCCAGCTCCTCCAGCTGCTTGATCAGCGCTGTCACCTTCGCCCTCAGAGCTCCCGCCGAGGTTGCCTCGTCCGCTATGATCTCCTTGCTGAAGGCGCTCGCGTGCCGGGAATCCTTGCGCGCCCGCGCGTCTCTGTCGCCCAGGTCCCGAGCTCCGGCCGCCGCGGCGCCCGCCGGGGCCGTGGCCGCGACGTCGCCGGGCGACTCCTCCAACGACGCAGCCGCGACGCTGTCCAACGTCATGGGGCGCCTGGGGAATCCGGTGGTCCAGCGCCTCGTCGTGTGTCTGAGTCTCTGTAGATCGCGTTCGTCGCCTGCAGCGTCCGCGCCTACTCGTGCGCGTCCGCGCCTGCGCGTTTGACCTTGAGGCGCGTGGCGCCCTGGACTGCGCGCCTGGCGGCGTCCTGCTGCCTGGCCGAGTCGGTGCCGAGGCCCTCGCTGCGCCGCTGCTCCTCCGCGAATTCCCGAGGCCGGGCGGGGCGCCTGCTCCTGCGCCGCGCCCTGCTCGGCGGCAATGGGGGTCAGGCTGGGGCGGGGGGGGGGGGGGCGCTCCATTGCCTCCTTGCGCGATGCGTTTTCGAAGTGGATTGCGGGGCCCGCCGTGCCCGTCTGGCGCCGCTGCGCAGCTTGGCGTAGGTCGCGGGGCGCGCCGCCACCTTGGTCGTCGCGGCGCGCTCTGTCTGCCGCCCCCTTCCCGACCTTGCGCGGGGGGGCGGGGGGGGGGTTGCCGCTGCGACCGGCCCTCGTCCGCGCGTTTCCCCAATCCTCGCAGAGCGCGACTCTCGGCCCCAGCGGAGCAGACATGGCTGAAGCCCGACGGCTCGGCCCTCTGCGACCAGGATCGGCATTTCACATCTGCGCTCGTGCGTCGTAGATCCCAAGTATCAGCTCGCCGTTTGACTGGGTCGTGCGCGCCTTGCTCGGCATCTGTTCGGGTGTGGTCCCCTTTGTTTGCGGCAGCAGACACGTTCCAGACGGCCCTGGCATCTGGGTGCACTCCGGCGATGCCCGCCTGCTTGCCTCTGCGGTCTCTGCCAGTCTGGTTCTGGCCGGTCTGGTCTCTGCCGCTCTGGTCCCTGCTGGCCAAGCCCTGCCAGGATCTTCGCTGGCAGCGCCGGACAACCCGCGGCTGCCGCTGCCCGATCCAGACGCTGCGCCAGACGCGCTGCCTCCTGACGCCGCAGGTTCCAATCGCGGCAACTTAGTCGCGGCCTCCAGAGCGTCGTCGGGCTCGCGGGGGTCGCGCCGCTTCCCGCCCGTCGGGATGGACCGTCTGAGCCGCGCTAGGGCGAGGAAGACCAAGTGCGGGCGCGCCTCGGGCGGCCCGGGCAGCTCCGTCACGACGTCATCGTCGAGCTCAAACCAGCGGCCGCTCTGCTTGACAAAGCGGCGAAGTGGCCGCCGCGAATTCGCTGCAGAGCAGGCGCGCCCAGCGCCGCGCGGTGCTGCGCGTGGGCCGTCACTTCGTAGGAAGTGGTGTCTCCATGGAGAACGCAAGCGGGGAAGACGGCACCACGCTAGATCGCCCGCGCGTTCACCGCGACCATGTTGCCATCCTGTTCGTGCATGTTCTCCACGCGGATCAGCAGGGCCTCCGAGGCCTCGCGGCTTGCTTGCTCGCCCTTAAGGGGCGCCTTGGTCGTGGCGGCCATGGGCGCCAGCGGCGCGTCCCGACCTATCTGGGCCTCCTCGGCCGCGCAACAGTGCGCCGTGTCAAATGGCCGCGGCCTTCCCGCAGGCGCGGCGCCGCGCTCCTCCGCGGTCCGCGTGCTCGAGGACGCGTGCCAGGCACTCCGCCGCGTGCTGCCGTGGACCAGGCTGGAAGCCCGGCTGCTGCTGCCAGAGCTGGCGGACGAGGGCCGCCAGTGGCGAGCGAATATCCGCGGCCGCGAGAGCAGGGGCGCTGCGCGCGCAGAACAGATCCCAGGGGCGGCCCCCCACGTTGCTGGCGCCCGGTTGCGCCCTTGATGTCGCCGCGGTAGGGGCGCGCGTGGTGCAAGCGCTGCGCCGTGGCATTGATGTAGCGTGTGCGGCAGGTTGGGGAAGCCGGCGGCACTCGCGCGGGCTTTCCCCAGCGCCAGCGCGGCCGCTCCCGGCGCGGCCGCTCTGGCGAACTGCATGCCGAGGTGCGCGAGCTGGCCGCGCGACTGCTCCAGCCGATTGCTGTCGCGAAGCAGGGCGCGGAGGTGTTGCTCGCGAAAGTTTGGGTGGTGCCGTTCAGGGCAGCCACGCCTGCATCTGCCCGGCCGGGGCTCGCGCCGCCTCGGCCCAGGACACTGCGCGCTGCCCTTCCGCGTCAGCTGCTGCCGGTTTGAGCGCCCACCGCTGCGGCGGGGCGCCATGTGGCCTCCGCGGTGCCGTAGATCTCTGGGCCTATGGCGTGGGGTTGGCGAGCAAAGGGTGCGTGCTCGGCCGTCTGGAGCTGCGACCTCAACGCGTAGCCCATGTTATGGTACTTGTCAGGATTCTCGCTCACCCGCGGGAGGTGCTCTCTGTCTGTGGCCGCGGCGGAGGGCCTCGTCGCAGACGTACTTGTGCAGCTCTTTCGCAGCCGTCCGTGGCACAGCTGCTGAAAGGTGCTCCTCTCCCTGCGGGCGCAGCCGCGGCGCCTCGACGAACCTGGGGGCGCCCCCCCCCGCAACGGGGGCTCTCGTCGGCTCTTGCGGCGAGACCTGGCTCAGGTCTCCGCGGTGTTGGGCGTCGAACCCGTGTGTTTGCGCCCTGAGAGATCGCCGGTTTTCCGCGCTGGCGTCGCCCCGGTGCCGTCGGCGGCTAGCCGCGGTCTCTTCGCTGGGGTCTCGAGGTGGCCGATGGGCAGCGGCGAAGCGGGCGACGCCTTGGCCGCCTCCGCCGCTGGGCCATGTCCCGTCGAGCAAGCCGTCGGGGCAACCCCTCGAGCGGTTGGCGTCGACTGGCCAGGCCCCGACTCGCCCGTTGACGGCGCCGCAGACGCGACGGCGTCGCAGCCCCTCCCTGTCCAGCGCCTCTGCTTCGCAGCCACGGCGTCGCTGGGGCCGGGTGTGCCATCGACCAGAGCGTCCAGCTCTGACAAGGTGCGCGGACACGGTTTCCCCGTGATGCACGTGCCGATTGCATATGTGGAATGCATCGGGCCCCGCCGGTGTCTGGAGTTCGCCCCAGATTCTCAGCGCCGTCAGATTGGCCCCCTTCGTCATCCTCCTCCCGCTCGCCCTTCTGAGCTGCTGCGCGGGCGCTCTATTTCCTCGCCTACCCGTTCCCCTCGGTCTCCCGGCCTGCCTCTATGCCGGCGAGCGCCAGTTGCGAAATCCCGCGAAGACAACCCATCGGGCTTTGCGAGGCGGCGCAAAGGCGGCGGGCGCGAGACGCGAAATGCCCAGTGGGCCCCCTCGGGGCAATCCCTCAGGTTCGCACCTCGAGCCTCGGGGGTCAAGGTTCGGGGCTCCATGGCGTTCGGGGGCTTCCTCGCCGCCGCGGCTGGGCGCGGCTCGAGAAACGTGGCAAGGGGGGGGGAATGTGCGAGGGTCATGGTGGCGGAGATCGCGACGGCGAGCGTGACTGCGTGGGCGCGCCCCTCCCCCTCCTCTGGCGCCCCCCTGCCCCTCTTTGCTTTCTCG